GCCACAATTCCAACAGGTTGTCTGCTTACTAAACTTTGATTCTGATTTCCCTATACTTGAGTTTCTGTCATGACATTTCCCTTTGAAATCAACATTCAATGCCGAACTCGAACCTGAGACCTCGCCAGAATCTTTCCTGCGAACTTCCTCAGCCAAAATCAAATCATGAATATATCGTATTTCAATTTAGATTTTTCTGCAGAATTGCTAACTGTTATCCTCATGGCTTCCTAACCATTTGACAATGAAGCCAACAAGATAAGTACACATATTTTATCATCAAAATCAATTTTCACAGACAACAATTGATTATCGTATTTCAATTTAGATTTTTCTGCAGAATTGCTAACTGTTATCCTCATGGCTTCCTAACCATTTGACAATGAAGCCAACAAGATAAGTACACATATTTTATCATCAAAATCAATTTTCACAGACAACAATTGATTTGTGATAGTATTGAAAACTTTTAGGTGTTGAGCAACAAAAACACCTTCCACCATCTTCAAATTGAATAAATTCTTCATCAAGTGCACCTTGTTATTCGCTGATGGCTTTTCATACATACCTGATAAAGCTGCCATAAGATCTATAGTCGTTCTTTCCTTTATGACGATGTGTGCAACAGACCTCAATAGGGTCAATCAAATAACCTCTAAAACTTGTCGATCCAACAAATTCCATTCAGCCTCATCCATCCTTTTAGGTCTTTTCCCCAATAATAGAAGATGAAGTTTCTTCCCATAAAGATAACCATCTATCTGCATTCTCCAATAACCAAAATCTGTGCCATCAAACTTCTCGATCCCTGAAACTTTCACTTCATCTGCAGCCATCATTATTCCTCATACCCGAAATCACGCTCTGATACCAATTGTTGTTATTGTGAGATCTAGATATATCAGTTGATGTGGTATATATATAAATCAAACAGGAGAACGATCAACGAACCGAAAAAAATAGAACGAGAAAAATCACACCAGAAAAGAACGCACAGATTTAGGTGGTTCGACAAATTGCCTACGTCCACGGAGTTGCAAAAGATTTTACTACTTGAGGAATTTACATTATTCGATCACCTTGACTTACAAGAGAAATCTCTCACTTTTCGTTGCTCTCTCTCTTCTTCTCTTTGTTCTTCTCTCTCTACACCGAGATACACTAAAGAAACTCTATACCGAGATACACTGAAGAAGAACACATACAAAAGAAATAAACACAATTTCTCTTCTGTCACAAGTCACCACGAAGAAGCCTAGGGAGAACATTGTTCTTCTCTCTCTACACCGAGATACACTAAAGAAATAAACTAACAAGAGAAATAAACCCAATTTCTCTTCTGCCACATGCCGCCAAGAAGAAGTCAAGGGAGAACAATCTTCTTCTTTCTTCTTCCTTCAGCTGCAAGAAACTACCGCTTACACTAGAACTACCTTTTGCACTTCTTCTCTTCCACTGCCTCGTGGAAACCCGAAGAACTTTTCCTCTGCCTCGAGGAAGCCTGAAGAAGAACACCTTGACTTCACATAACTTCAAAATCAGAAGGAGAGCCTCTCTTTTATCATGAAGAGAAGAGAGCGAAGGGATGCTTCGCTTCGCGAATTAGAAAATGCGGGAACGGCTCGCATCAGGCGGGAGATGCGATTCTTCGCTAAAATAGGAGCGCAAGCAGTTCTCGTGACACAGGAGGAGAACGCGACCCTTCGCGAACAGGAGCGGGAGCGGGAGTGGGTGCGACAGGTGGGAGCGGGCGGGTCGTTCGCGATCAGGAGAGCGGGAGGCGGTAACGTGAAAGATCTCCAGCGCTAACATTTTAAACCAATTGCTGTTAAATCCTGAAAAATTACCTAACATGTCAAACATTAATATAGATAGGATTTTGTGTTATCACAAAATTGTTAGTTAGTTTTGGAAGTGTTTTGCTTTGGTCGGAAATCAATTTTAAGGAATTCTTTGTTCCTGTTTCGTGTACAATTTATATGGATAAAGGCTTCAAGTTGTCTTTTTTAATATTTTAATAGATTGCAGAAAACATGTGATAGAAGCCAAATTGCTAAAAATCATAATGTTTTACAATACTGATTGCTGATGTTGGACACTAATATTTGACACAGCATCTGCAATATTATAATCGAATATATAATAAATATGCAATCATGAATTTATTTTATTGACATAATTCTCATGAGAAAGACCCAATCATGATTTTTTTTTTAATCGCTCTTAGATTAGTATTCATTTTGTTATTTCTTAAGCTAATGAAATTCTCTTTACAAATAAAAGGTTGCTTGTATGTTGTAAACAATATTGATGATTAATACAAAAAATTGCAAGATAATCTAGACTATTCTTTCCTTTGTTTTCTTCCTCTCTTGGGTTGTGTCTCACTCTTATTTGATATCTCTCTTTCTTATTAAAGTGATCATGACGGATGATAATCTAGACTAATCTTTCCTTTGCTTAGCTTGGACAAAACTCACCTATGAATGCTATTCCACTATGCTTTAAGATGAAGATGAAGATATTTTTTTAGCATGGTTTTATGATATCTTTAGTGGTTGTGGTTTCAATGCTCCTATTGATGGGGGAATAAGTTGTTTTACAACCTTCTATTCTGCTGTTTGCTTCACCACGTATTGCATAGGTTAAATGTTTTGTTTTTACTTCTCTAGCTAATCATAAACAATGGCATGATGTATGCCAGCCAGCTTTGCCACCAGCACCTCCACGATACTATAGCAACCTATTGCCACTAGCACCATTATTTGATCATTTCTTGCTTTATTTAAACTTGCAATCAACCACTTTATTATGATTTATCATCTAATAGGAGGTTGTCATCATCACTTGCCTTATCATTTATGAAAGATTTATTATGAATACTCTAAATTGATTTTTATATTATTATTTTCTAAGAAGATGATACTTTTATTATAAATTTTAAGTGATGCTCGTAAATTATATACAATTTTGATGATTAATGCAATCAATTGTTTTTAATTCCTAACTTCAGACCTAATATGACAATAAGGCTCGTAAACACTCTTTTTTCTCTTTTTTTTTTTTTTTTTTTTGGTGAGAGAAGTGACAATGAAATATAAACGATGAGTTCTGAATCAATTTGTTTGATCTTGTAATATGATGGACACTCAAGTATCAAAGAAGATTTTGCACCCTTATATTATAGTGGAGTGAATCGTTAGATTCATTTGGAGAGATTAAGAGCCGAATCTTAAGGTCTCTTAAATATAACTCGTCAAGCTTCACTGTTAACTTGATATGTCGCCTTCCCATTTGGAATTGGTTTATTACATCTCTAATAACTGATGATGTAGTGTGTGAGGTCCTTCGAGTACGACTAATCTACAACCTGTGGTTATTTATGTTGAGATTGAAAAAATTGATAATGCAGAACAACACTTCGACAACTCTGGTGTTCAGTTGACAATAAGGTTTTGTACACAACATGAGTTTATGTACGTTATCATTGTTATGTAGTTATTTATGTCTCTATTAATTTTTTTTTTTCATTTGAAATTACATCATAAATCCGTACCATGCAAACACTCATTTTGCCAGTGAATTGGCATTAGTCAAACAGATTGTTACGAGTTCTAATGCTACTTATGTTTGGCGTTCTGGCGTAAGTGAAAAATTGGAAAACATTAATGAGGGTTACGAAACAATGCCGAGTTCATCAAGCGATAATTCCGGTAAAAGCAGTCGAGATCATGAATTGCCAACTGATACAATCAGCCCTCAATCAATATTTTTAAAATCGATAAGGTCATATTTAACAAGGGTCGTGGATGCACTGAAGCAGATGTTTTATAATAATAACTTTGTGCGAGCTTGTAAAACTATAAAAGACTAGGACGAGAAAATTATATTTGATGGACCAACTGAAGACGAAGGCATTATCGCCCAAGAAAATGCTATTTTTGATCCAATATTTTGATGTGTTAGCTTTCTGAGTTATTCAATTTTTATGTTTTATCCTTGCTTCTGCAATAGTAACACTATTCTCTTTGTCATTATGTTGAGTGATTGTACATTTCTCTTTGACGAAGCTAGATTAGCATTTCTCATGACCTTTAAAAGAATTTCTCTCATTATGTTTGAAAAAAAAAGCACATAAGGAGGTACTTTTAAATATTAATAGTACCATTTTATCAAGTTTTTTTTAACTCTTTCTAATTATTTGTTTCATGTATACTATTTAGAAACTACTTCACAAGATATTTTGCACCATTTGGCCATGGATTTTACTAGATGATGTTTCAGAGCCTAAAATATGAAGTCCTAATCAAGAAATCTACAATGCATGGATATTGATCTGAAATGCTAAATTGTAGAATGCAGAACACAGATTCACTCTTGAGATAACATTCTCTTTTATAAATTAGTAATATAAAATGTGTTACTAAAATAAAAACAACAAAAATATTTTTTATAGAAAACCTAAAATATGTAGATTTCATGCAAAGAAGAGATAAATGTATCACTATTGGAGATGAAAAAATAACCAAGTTAGGATAAAAAAAATAAGAAACTTGAACATTCACAATAGCTGTGAATTGTTCATTGTGATTCATCCTTCTATTGATACCAAAAACATCGAAATAGGACTAGATTTGATTGATCTGCATTGATTTATTTGTAACAATTCCACTATTTTTTAAAATAAAAATTAAGAACTAGGAGGCATTAGCAACTAATTATGATTTGTTCATTTTATTCATTAAGAGCAATTAACATAAAAGCTGTAGACAATCTTATTATCTTTAGACAGACATTGAGACATATACTTTGATTTAATTACAATAAGTTAATTTTTCATTTTTGTGGACAGCCAGTCGCAATTAGACTGGCCCACCATACACAATTATAAATTATAAAACTTTTCTTCCGATTTATCAAATATAACCAAACAAAATCCTGATTTAAAAATGTAGCCCCATTCAACCCCCAATCACTCTATATAAACCCCACCTCACCCCCAACCGCTAACCAAAACTCTCATCCAATGGCAGCCCTAAGCCTCCTCCTCACCGTCCTCCTCACCGCCATCTCGCCCGCAGCGCTCGCCATCCCGGCCAACTCCACCGACTTCATCCGCCGCAGCTGCACCGCAACCCTCTACCCCAAGCTCTGCTACACCTCCCTCAAACCCTACGCAAAAACCGTCAAGCAGAGCCCTTTATCACTCGCCATCATCGCCGCCAACGTCAGTCTCGCCAAAATAAAGGAATCAGTTTTGAAAGCCGAGGCTTTGCGGCACCACAGAAAGAGGCGTGCCGGCGCTGCACTGCGCGATTGTGTTGATGTGCTGCGTACAGCCGAGGATCTCACAAAGCAAGCCATGGCGGAGATCCGGAAGCTTGGGAAGCCGGCTGCGCAGGCTGGTCGTCGGTCGAGCTTTATTTCAGAGGTATCTAATGCTCAGACGTGGATGAGCTCTGTTATCACTAATGAAGACACGTGCATCGACGGATTTGGAGACATCGGCTGCGGGGGCGGCGGCGGCGCTGAGGTGTTGAAGGGCTTTATTCGAAAAGTAAGGAGGGTGGAAAGGTATAGCAGTAATGCTCTTGCGCTGCTGAATGCTCTTGTAGAAGGTTGATTCTTCTACGGGAAGATCTGCTGTTTAATCCGAAGTTAGTTGAATAAGTTTATTCGCTCTTATTAATCGAAGTTAGTCAAAAAATACGAACAATATAGTATTTAATGTATGTGCTATTGCTAATCTAATTTATGATAAAAGATCTGAACTTTTTTGCAAGTTTGATCTTCTTAGGTGATGGAGAAGGTTCAGTCTGTGAACTATAAGAATTTTATATATGGCATTGCTGTGTTTTGTCTTTTATCTATTTTTTTTGGCGTATTGGGGGTTTATAATAAAAGATGTGAATTTTAAGTTTATAAGTTTTTGATATGGAATAAAGTGGAGGAAATATAATTTTATACTTAATTTTGAGGGTTTGTTAACGTTTATCAAATTTCTTTTAAAAATTGTGTTTATTCAATCAGGAAATACGAGCTACTATTTGAAATGATGTAAAATTATCGGCAATTTCAACAAACTAAAATTTTTATGAGACATCTCCAATCCAACTCCCTTTTCATTTTCTATTACTATTGTGCTCAAGAGATTAGTATTTCAGGATTTATTTGGGATCAATTTTTTTTAATCGATTTTATTTTATTTTTAAATAAATTAACGTAAACCAAAAAGGAGGCCTTTACATTCATACCACAAAATTCCTCAGTATTGCATATCTAACGCTTGAGCTTTAATTTTTTCATTCATACCACTACTCCAATCTTCAACATCACATAAAAAAACATAACATCACCAAGTTCTTAGAAGTCAAATGCACATTTTCATACATAAATTTATAGCCAAAAGTTTTATAAATATAAATATCCAACTTTTGGTGTTAGATATATAAATCAATAAGAATTAAGTGGTACATATGTAAATTTCCCTAAAAACAAAATCAAATATTGTCTAAATATCATTACAGTATTTTTAAAAAAATTAACATCACTAATTATATTTTATTTCAATCTAAATACAAGTTTAAAATAAAGAATAAAAAACAAAACAAAATTGATCCCCCCCCCCCCCCCCCCCCCCCCCCCCTCCCACCCACGCCACTTAACGGACCCAAAGCTAGAAAGGTAAATTTCATTGATATTATCTTCCTAAACAAAAGTTAACTTAGATTAGGGTTTTACATCAAATTAAATCGTTCGCTTTAAAGCCATCAATTTAATAGAGCCATTTTAATATTTGGGATGATGTAAATTAGAAAGTAGAGTTTTGGAGGCCATCAAAACTAAACCAACACCATTTAAAATTATATCACATCAAGCATGATGTATATATATATTCAAGAATGGTCGGAGGCTATGATACGAGCTCTTGCCGTCCCTCATGCGCCTATAATTTGAGTATCACACCCTACATTCAGGGGAAATCAAACCCCAGACCAGAGGGGACTTACAAGTGACAACCAAATGTCCGGCTAACTGATCTGAGTACGTGACACTACTCTATGTATATATATATAT